AGTTAAAGCTCCTGAACAGCAACCCAGTCATAGCACAATTACGGCTGTACTCCTGACTCAATTATAAGCTTCCTGGGTCCCCGAACGGAATTATGCTTTGGGCATGGATGCTCTGGTCACCGTATGCTCATGGAACACCAACGGAGACTGAAAACACCCCAAACCACCAGGCGCCAGGGGGTGCGCCTGGGTACTACTACTACGACGACGACGACGACGACCACGACGACGACGACGACTGCTACTAGTAGGTGACCGTCGCATATTGACGGTAGTGTTTTCCTCACTTCATCTGCGTGTTACAGTGGTTTCGGACAGATTTAGGATTTAATGGAGGGGGCGGCTAAAAAGCATTTCCTCAATAGTCCCAGAGTCGGCCCAGTAGCCCAAGCTAAGTTCCAGTCGTCCAGGGGTGTCAGGAGTTCTGATCTAATTTTCAATTTTCCCACTAGTCCAAGATTCGACCCAGTAGCCCAAGCTAAGTTCCAGAAGTCCAAGGGTGTGAGGAGTTCTGAACTAATTTTCAATTTTCCCATTAGTCCAAGATTCGGCCCAGTAGCCCAAGCTAAGCTCCCATGATATTTGACCTAGCCTATACTATACAGGATTTCCAGCATAGCAAAGGAGCCCAATAATGCGTTACCTACACTATTCGGGGTTAGGAAAATAGCAAAGGGGCCCGATAATACTTTACCTACACCATTCGGGGTTAGGAAAATAGCAAAGGGACCCAAAAAAACTTGGCTTATACTATTCAGGATTTTGAAGATAGCAAAGGGACCCAATAATGTTTGACCTAGACTATGCAGGATTTTGAAGATAGCAAAGGGACCCAATAGACCTTGGCTTACACTATTTATTCAGGATTTTGAAGATAGCAACGGGACCCAATAATACTTGACCTATATTATTCAAGGTTTTGAAGATAGCAAAGGGACCCAATTGTGAACTTGCGATAGCATCGTGCCTGAGCTGGAAAGGTTTCACTGCGGGAAAAAACTAGTTTGCCGCCCTGCCAACTAGACATGCTTCATTTGCAGAAGTGCTGGCCTTGCTAGGACATTTGCACAATGCAATCACAAGAAACCTACCGTCAAATATGCGACGCGCGCGTACTACCACTCCTACTACTCCTACTCCTACTCCTACTACTGCTGCTACTACTACTACTACTATTACTACCACCGCTTGTATTATCTGCCCCCCTCAGCACGATATTTTGCTAAACGTTTATCATCGGGTTGTAATATCATTCCACAAGAAATAGGCCAGTAGCACTAATAGTGCTAAGAGATGTCAGAAACTCTGGTGCTAGTCGGATATTTCTTACGACCCCTGAGAGACTAATGGCAACAACAACTTCTTTCTTGTGAAAAAACAAAAGAACTTCTTCGCTGACGCCTTCGGCTTGTACGTAACTACCTCCTCCGCACGCCTCCCGTGCGGGGTATAAAGCTTAGGAAGATGGTTGGTTGCAGACTGCCTTCGGCAAATACCTGTTAACTCACAAACTGTACCTGGTCCGGGCAGCCCTCCAGCACTCGTTTGCATTCTGTTGCCGGTCCTTTTAGTTCACATTACTAAACAGCCAGACGGATTCACATGGCAAGTTGTCAGAAGCACATTCTGCTTAGGATTCACAGCTTGCAGGCCTAGATATTACAACAAATGTGTTGCGACTGGTTCCAAGAATGAGAAGTCCTTCTGGAGATTCGCATGCGTGGAGCGTGCGTGACAAGCGAATCGTCGAGACTTCGAAATGTCCGGGATTCCTATTCTGACTTGAGAACGGCGCAGAGAATAGCAGACTTTGTTGGGCGTTTGTTTTCAAGAACCCCAAAAAGCGACCGTACCTTGCCTGGCAACGGGTGAGCCCAAATGCTTCAAACTTCAAAACTCCCACGTATCCAACCTGCGTTACAAAACTAAATTATTGTTGCGACCAAGACAAAATTCATTCACGTCCGAGAAGACAGAAATTTGCCCGCCTAAGATTATTCGCTGTAGTCGGCTGAAGTAAGTGTTTCTACTGTCAACGAAAAGATACGAGCCGGTTTTGCAAGCGAAGCTTCAGGCGCCTGCCAGAGCCTGTTGTTCACCCTCCAGCTTTGGGCATGACTCGGCATGACCTACATTGGCAGAACACCAATATTGACGCACAGCACACAAAATCGGCTAAGAATTCTAGAGCATCCCATGTTGTTCGGAATCGCAAGCATACTGCGTTTGTTGAATTTACATAGGTTTGCACTCAAGTATCCGTTCTCAGTTTTGCCCCGACATAGAGACATTTGAGTTGGGGAATGCAGAATTGGCGTCCAAGCATTTGCATTCTTTCCACCCACCGGCGCTCTCATCCAGAAACACTTCTGCAACGTAGATGCATTCCTCATAGACAGCGTTTTTGACATGTGCGCAGGTACGAACCCTGAAATCTTGATCTTCTTCCTGAGCCTCCCCCCAAATCCAGGTCAGGAAAGCCAAGTTTCTGGTTGTTAGTGCAATGCCTAGCATTGGTGCCTGGAACATGCCCACAGGTAGCCCAAAAATTTGAAGAGCCGAAATTAGAAGTACCAATAATGAGGATTTTAGTATTTGCGGGTCCAATTTGGGGTTGCCCTCTTTGGGGAAACTACCACTTCTTATTTTCGTGTCTCTTTCGTCTCCTGGACCAGTACTTAATCTGAGTTAGACTTGCAGTAGTGTTGGACCTTGGTCCCCGCTAGCAACGGTGCCCCTCAGTCTCCCAAGGTTCTGAGGGCAAAATGGAAGGTATGGGCTGGGCTAAGACCTATCTATCCAGATACCTGAACTCATTGCACCTCTGACGTCCCATTTGGCTTTGAAACATCAGTGTGGGGTTTAAGGGCATATGCTACTATGGATTCGAGGTTGACTTTCCGCTCAAATTCGACCCAACTCTTGCAGTTGGTGTTGAGATGTGCAATACGGAAAGGCCAGCAAGCCTTAGCGCACAGGGATCCGAATCGGATGTTTGGTTGAAACTCGCACCTGGAACTGGGTTGCTGTTTACTAAGGTAAATTAAGGTATTTATCACTCCGGTATATTTTTAACAATAGCGCCTCCTTATTATAATGACTTGATCTAAGTTCCTACCAGCAACTCAGGCAAAGCTTAGATCCTGACCTTGAAATCTGATCACCGAACGCGACAGAAATGCCCACAGGCCTCATACCGCGAAATGGCAAGCCGCGTCCTCACCACGTACCCGCCAATGGCTTACACTACAGGGGGCTTTGCTTATTGGGGGATCGGAAGTGCAATTCTTGTTGTTGGTTTGATGCATTGGCATGGGGTCCCTCATTGTCATGATGCATTTTCTTCATGAATATATATATATATATGTGTATATGTATCGTTCTTGAAAAGGAAAGATCGCCCAATACAAATCCTACGTCGCATGGGAGCGGGAGCAGCAACAACAACAGCAGCGAGAAGCATAGCATAGACAATTTCTGTGAATGAGACTATGTTTTGGGCCGCAAGGACTTCATGTTCAGGGCTGCAGGCTTTGATAAAAGCATGCTTTAGCTTCAAGATCTTAATGGCTTCCGTGCTTGGATTGTACTAGCCTTTGGCTTTGAAACTTTGATTGGCTACCGTCGCAAGAGGGGCCGAAACAAAGATCGGCAGTACTGTATCATGAGCAAGCCTGGACCTGCACAACGTCAGCAGAGACTTGATTTTTCTAATTTGCCTATCAATGTGGATGAGTTTCTCAATTACAGCCTGTCGGGCCTCCAAAAAGCTAGAGACACTGCTTTCGCTCTTGGCATGGCGTTTTGCTGTGTTTATGGCTCCCAGTGGTGGGAACTGAGTCGCCATCAAATTCCATTGGTGTGAGTATCTGTCATGCGATGCCAGCAAAGAGGACACTATGTACAACAACCAGTGTTCCCTGCAACGAATACAGTACGCGCTCTAAATCCTGATGGACTTTCAGCTCTTCCCTGTGCAGGGCATGTAGAGGAGCACCATTAATTACCCGAATTGAGTCTTTCATGGCTATTGCTGGAGATGTTGGTTTGGCTGCCGATGCGGAGTTCCTGTCTATGTGGTGACACTGCAAGCCAGATTCTATGCATGAAAGGGACCAAACCATACCTTCCAGGCCCTAAGAAACCGTTTGGATAGTTGCGAAACTTCCGGGCCAAGGCAAATCCCAGCACCAAGCAGGGCGTTTCGCGGCATACCTTGGAAAGAACCCGCTGAACATCATACTCCTAAACTAAGCCTTCCCCAATACCCTGCGCCCATCCGTAGTATAGTCTAAAGTCCTGAGAGCTTAAAGGGGTTATGTAGGGGACTGTATAGAGGAGTATCATAGGGGTTACTAAGGGGGATACTAGGAGTTGAGACTATAGCCCCCCTGACCTGAATCAGGCCAACCGTTCTGGCCGAGTATGCTGCTGGCTCAAAAGCAGGGTGCGGTGTGTCGAGGTGGGTTTAGAGTTCAGATGGCTGTCCTCCTTTCTTGAGGAATTGTTTCATATTTCTAGAGTCATTTAACCCCAGGATTTTTTTAGAATAAGATTTGTTGCTTAAAGATCTAGGGGGGTTTACAGCTTCGGGCGAGGGCATGATTTGGGGTTTCTCGGAATAATGTTCTGGCGTCTCTCCCTACGGTTTAGAGTCAAGATCCTGAAATTTTTAAGGCAGCAAACAGGGGTCCGTACGGTTCAGGTTCA